GTTAATTCACCCTTCGCACAATGACTTGAATATAATTTCTTTACTGTAAAATATCATATTTCTTGAGTTTTTGTCTAAAATTCCGACATCACAAGGGTTTGTTTGTTTGTTTTGGTAACCCAGAAGTGTGCTCCAGTTCCATCTATAATCTAAGAGGCAAACAGATGGCATTATTAGATCATAGATTTGGAGATGGAAGGGAACTTGAATGATATTCCTCATTTTAGAAATAAAGAAACTGAGGCTTATAGAGATCAAGTGATTCGCCCATGATCACACAACTAGTAAGTACCATCAGGATTTGGACCCAGGTCTTCCTTACTCCAGGTTCAGCAATCCAACCCCCTGATGGTTCTGGTTTTGTTCTTTTTGTTGTTTGCAAGATACCTTTGCCAATAAAGACCAAAATTCTTTCTCCTTTTTTCTCTAGAGGATCATCATTTTCTTTTTTCCTATTTAGTGTATCAAGCATCTTAGAGTACTAGAAAAAGAGATGAACTTGGAGTCTGAGACCTGGGTTTGAATGATATATCAGATATTTGTTAGCTCTGGATGGATATGTCACTTAATATTGATGAGTCTCAAGCTGCTTCATCTCAAAAATAGGAATAATAAATAAAGCAAAATACTTTATAACCCTTAAAGAACCACATAAGTGTAAATTATTATTATTGCTACTGTTATTATGAGTAGTCTATTAAAAATAGAAGAAAAGACAAGAAATTAAATTCTAAATTCAGTAGTACAATTCTATGAGACAGAAATTTAACCTAATTTTTTTCTTCCATACAGTGGTAGAACAGAAAAATTTCAGCATGTTCTGTTTTGTTCTGTTTTGTATTATTTCTTTTTGGCAATAACCTTTGCCTGCTGTAAGATATCTCCTCTTATCCCTTTTTGAGAATCTCCCCCTCCTCATCTGGAATTTTCAAACTAGAAACATACATGTTTTTAGTCAATTTTAATCTCTGTGGCTGTGAAAGAGAACCATACATGGTTCTTTTCTTCATTGCCCACATTACTATTTTATGTAGGACTGAGAAGATAACCATCAAAGAATTCAAGGACTATGGAAAGCCCAGCAAGACTGGGATTGCAGGATTCAAGGGTACCCAAAACCATCAAGATCCCTTCTCTCCTGGTCAAGCTCGATGATCATCATTCTCAAGAGTTAGATTCTGTAACCCCTTACCATTTGAAAACACCATTGCATACTATGCTCCTGGTTTACACGATCCCACTATTTTCTCACTTTCTTTTGTTCGTCTGTTCATATCATTCTCCCCTCACCTCCTAAAATTATTGAGACATTACTTAAATTAAACAAAATGTATTCAAAATAAAGATCCTACAACTACTGCTTTTTAGTTTTATTAGTCCATCTGCTCTTCTTCAGTTTTAATCTATAAGTTTCATTAAAGCAGATGCAACAGACTAGGGCACAATTTTAACTTGTTTTCTCTCATATGCCAATACCACTAGAAAGCATTTAAATATCCATAGTACTGTATCTAGAAAGTACAAGATCCTAGAGGCCAACAACCAAGAATAATGACAGCTATCATCGACAATTAATCAATTATCTATCAATAACTGTAAGGCCAATTTTTGGCACTGTGAACAAACAATATGGTCTATGGATTATCATTTACTCTGTTTTTTTAAATTTTCTTTTATTTTTCTTATTTCCTTGAAGTAATAAGAATTTTTAAAAATATTGTTGGTTGGGGCAGCTAGGTGGTGCAGTAAAGCACCAGCCCCAGAGTCAGGAGGACCTGAGTTCAAATGTAACCTCAGACACTTGACACTAGCTGTGTGACCCTGGGCAAGTCACTTAACCCCAATTGCTTCACCCAAATAATAATAATAATAAATTGTTGGTTAACTAATAATTGGTTATTTAACTGGTCATTTAATGGTTAATTAAATGCCCTCTTTGGTGTCATTAGAACTATTGAATCATATTGTTTTAGTCTTGGAAGGATATATAGATCACATAGATCAACTGTCCACCCATGTAACAAAGTCCTTGAGAGTAGGCATTTTTCAGTTTTTGTATTTGCATTTCTAGGGTTAGGATTATACCTGATGTGTGGTAGGCACTTAATAAATGCTCCTTGAGTGCCCAATTGAATGATGTAAGAATCTTTTCTTCATTTTCCCTGTCAGAGAGTTTCTTATTGAACATTTTTAGTGATACAGGGATCACTAATGTGAAGGCAATCAATTCCATTCACAGACATAATACTCAAAAAGTGTGTTCTCTTGTGGTTGCTGCTTGCTGTAGTTAATGTCTGTCTTAATATCTGCAATTTCATTGGCTCAAGTGTGGAAATATCCCTCACACTGAACAAGGCCACAGAAAAAAAGACTTTCAAACAGAGTTTTTCATGATATTAAAGAATAGATCCCTAGAATCAGAGAATATAAAAGCTGGAATATCACTGGCATTTACATTCAATTTTCCATTACACAGAATTTGGCTAATAGAGCATCATGATGATGAGGATGAGGACAAGGAAGTGGTGCAGGAGGAAGAGAATGATGAGGATGATAGCATTGATATAGCACTTTGAGCATTTCAAGCAAGGCACTTTACAAATATTATCTTATTTGGTCCTCATAACAATACTGGGAGGTAGGTGCTATTATTATACCCATTTTATAGCTGGGAAACTGATGTAGACAGAGGTGATATGACTTGCTCAGGGTTAGAGAGCTAGTTAGTTTCTGAAAGTACTAAATAGTAATATGGGATTTGAACTCAAGTCTTCCTGACTCCTAGTCCAATGCTCTTTCTACTGCTTTACCTGCCACTCAGCGTGTCCTTCTACCCCTTTGTCTTTTTCTCTGCTATATAGTTCATAAATATGCACACACTAAATAATAGCCCTATTAGGAATTAGTAAAATCAAAACAAAAAATATAATTTCAACAAGTATCCAATATATTCTAAAGTCATATGGTAAATTAAAAATGTTTGAATTATTTGCTGATTTGGCTTATCTGGACCCCTTCTATTGCCAGTAATGAAAATAACTGAGTTAGCTGAAAATATAATCTGAACTATGGGTCTGATGTTGGAGTTTTTCCATAATAGTACTGACTTGGGGAGAATATAATAAAGGGAGTTTTCTGATATAATTTTAAAAATGGTTTAAATAGTTAAATAAAGAAATATGAAAAAGACTAAATAATCCCTACATATACCCCTCAGGGGCACCTTAGTTTTTCCCCCGATGCCCAATTCCTAGTTCTATTGATTTTTTCCTTCTTTGTTCTTCCCTTATTTGAATCCATTTCCAATAATTCTATTTTTCAACATTTTTTTTCCTTTGGGGCTTTTAAATTCTTTCTTTCAAAGCCTAAATGGTAGCATTCCCCTTGTCTTTTGTGTATCTGAATTTGTGAGTGGGTGATTGAGTTGTAAAATGACAGTAGTAGGTACACAGAGCTAGTTTCCTATAATAAAAATGTGTTTATTCAATTTGACTCCAAAGGTTACGAATATACAAGAATTAGAATATTGAAAAATAAAATTATTTTATAATGTTTGTTACTAGCCCATAATATAATTACATCTTATGTTGATTCTAGATTTTTGTAATGAACAAACTTTATATAGTTGTGTATGTGCTTTTCATTCAAAGATAACAATTTCATTTGTGTATTCAGGTTTGCTTTTCCTTTTTTTTTTGTATTAGTAAAGACATTAACAATAAAATAGGTTCACTTGCTCCAGCTGGTAATTCCTCACTACAAGCAATATATTATTCCTCTTTTTGTGACATCATAATCATCTATATAGAAAGTACCATGTATCCTTGTGTAGAAGCTACTGTTTCCATTAAATTTAATTACCTCCCCCTGTGGTTTTAAATAGAAGTGGCTTCAAAATGAGGGCAGCTTCTATTAAATTTAATTACTTTCCCCTGCTGCTTGCATGGTAAAAGGGAGGTTATTAAATGAGGGCAGCTTCTAAACTAAGGTATATGGTAACTGTGTGTTGCCTTATATGGGAAAAGTCTGAGCTATTTCACTGGGCATTCAGTTAGATAATCCTTTCTTCTATTTTTTAAAATTTTCATTTCCTCTTTAACCTTGGAATCTAAGAAGGAAAAAAAATATTAGGAAAAAGGATATATTTTACAAATCAATACTAATTCTTCACACTAAATAAACATGTATAACCATTATGAAAATAATTGTATTATATTTCCATAACAGAACTTTAAAAGAAAAAATGAATCACTCATTTCATTTTCTAAGGCTGAGTAATGAGTTTTATTCCAAAACCATTTAAAGTGCCTCATATACTTATGTTCCTTGAATCCAACCAACTATTATATTTTAAATACTTTACTAAAAGTTACTAGAAAATTTCCAAAGTTCATGAGAAATAATAGTGATGACATTCACCATAAAATTTCTTTTTGTAAAACTTTTTTACCCTAAAAATGCATCAGTACCATTACAAAAATTTATATGTAAAAATAAGAACTACAAATACAGTAAAAATGAGGCAAAACATTTAAAATTTTTAAGGAGAAAAATTAACTTTTTTCCACTATTTAAATATAACCCTATTAAAGTCTATCAATAAAAAATGCACGAACCACTATTTTTTTAATTAAACATAAATTAATAAGAAATACCAAGTCATTTAGAACCCCATTGTACAATTCTTCCAACACAGGCAGAATTTAGATGAACAATATTTTCATTCATTCACACAGTTTAGTATAAATATAAAACAAGACACCCCTTAAGCATTTTAAGTCACAAATTAAACATTTACATTTTTTACTGTGCAGTGAAGCTGAACATTTATGCAGCTTCAAAACCAAAGTAGAGCCTCAAGGGAAGCCTCTCCACTGACAAATTAATACCTTAGAGAACAGAGCTGAATGGTGGCAATGAACTCATTTGTTCCCCCAATAATGAAGAATGACTTTTTCTTTACCACATCTGTGACTGTTGCTATGGTGACCCAGACTTACCTCATTGCTTCTCGAAGAGCTCCTCTCTCACTAAGAGTTGTGTGCTTGATGTCATCAAAATTATTTTCTAGCTTTGGACAGGCCTATAATATATGAAAGAATGACATGAATCACCATAACATTCTGAAGGAAAAAAGGATCTACGTGCTTATATCTGCCAATATAATTAATAATATTGATTATGAATTTACACAAATTATGCACACAATTTTAATTAGACAGGATTCATTAGAACTGACAGTGAACTCAGTAACCAAACAGAAGTAGCCTATGATATAGCTGTCATGGAAATTGTTTTATAAGTGTTTCAGAATGTGGTGGACAGAATGAGTATTTAATAAAAGGGTAGAATTTCTAGACTATTTTGAATAATAACAGATGCTTTCTTCATGTAAACTAAACTAGAAAAAGAATATATGAAAGGGAAATCAATAGAGTGTTCTAGATTTAAAACAATAATCAATATTCTAATTTCTGTAACAAACCCATATCGAGCTCTAAATATGTATACCTGGAAGGCAGATTAGAAACAGCAACCCAGCCAAACTCTCCAACATTTACTTCCAAACAACTTTAAAATAACACCTCAAATTGAATTTTGGAACAGCAGAGCCAACAGAAGGTTAGAGTGAAACATTTTTCAAGCCCAAGAGAACTTAGAATGTTGGAAAGAGATGTCTGTGACACCAGAGTGGTGGCCAGCTTGAAGTGGACCCTTGGAGGCAGCTGTGATTGCTAAAGCAGCAGCAGTTTCAGGAGCTTTCAGCTCAGCGAGGTTTGTACAATTGGTTAGAAACAGGTTACAGGGGACACTTTGCTGGAACTAGGTGTAGATGGCATTAATTGGCAACTATATTGCCCATAAGCTGTTCTGGGTCACAGTTCCAGAGTGGAGAGGAGAGCTTCTCATCAGTCACAAGGGAGCAGGGGCCCTGGTTGCAGTAACAAGGCAGAGACAAGTATTAGTTCTTGTGGTTGCAGTAGAGCAGAGGACCTGGTAATAGTCCCAGGGCCAAGAATAGCACTAGCACTTGTAGCTGAAGAAGGGCATTCCTGGGTAAAGACCAGAGCTCATACCAGGAGAGCAGTGACCACAATTCTCCCCAGATCACATCATCTTAGAAGCACTGACATTTTGTAGCTCTGAAAACAGTCACAGGAAAAAGCCTGAAGCTAAGGACAATGCCTCTTCACCCCAATGTGAGCAGAGCCCAATTTTAACAAAAAGTTTGAAATAAAGAAATAGGTGGGGGGGAAAATGAGCAAACAACAATGACAAAGAACTTGACCATAAAAGCTGCTACACTGGGAGGGAAGACCAAGACATAAAATCAAAAGAAGACAACAATGTGAAAACATCTACAACCAAAGCCTTAAAGAAAAATGATGATTGAACCCAAGCCCAACAAGAAGAACTCCTGGAAGAGTTAAAGAGATTACGATGGTAGACGAAAAATTGGGGAAAAATGACAGTGATGCAAGAAAATTAAGAAAAGAGAATTAACAACTTCTTAAAACAGGCACAAAAATACTGAAGAAATAACACCTTAAAAAGTAGAATTGGCCAAATGGAAAAAAGAGGTATAGAAACTCACTGAAGAAAATAATTCCTTAAAAATTAAAATCGGGCAACTGGAAGCTAATAACTCCATGAGACCTTAAGAAACAATATAACAAAATGAAAAAAGAGAAAATTTGAACTATCTCACTGGGCAGAAAATGACTTGAAAAATAGATCAAGGAGAGATAATTTAAAAGAGCCTAACATAATATTTCAAGAAGTTACCCAAGAAAATGACCCAAATATCTTAGATCCAGAGGATAAAATGGAAATTGAAAGAATCAAATGATCACCTCCTGAAAGAGATCCCAAAATGAAAACTCCCAGGAATGTTAAAGCTAGATTCCAGAGCTCCCAGGTCAAGGAAAAAATATTGAAAGGAGTCAGAAAGAAAAAATTCGAGTATTATGGAGTCACAGTCAGAATCACACAAGATTTAACAGCTTCCACATTAAAGAAGCAGAGGGCCTGGAATACAATATTCCAGAGGCAAAGAAGCTAGGATTAGAACCAAGAAAAACCTCTCTAATCTTTCAAGGGAAAAATGAATTCTTAATGAAATACAGGACTTTCAAATATTCCCGATGAAAAGATCAGACACAAATAGAAAATCTGACATTCCAACATAAGACTTAAGCATAAAAATATAAACATTAAAGAGAAAGAGCCTCAATAAAATTAAACTGTTTACATTCTTATATAGGAAGACTATATCTATCTATCTATCTATCTATCCCTAAGTACTTTATCATTATTAAAGCAGTTAGAAGCAGTCTACATAGAAGGCCTGGGTGTGAATCAACTATATTGGCCTGATTTCCCCCCCCCAAAAAAAATGGAATTAGAAAGAGAAATGTGCTGAGAGAAGGGTGAAGGGAAAGGTAGAATGAGGAAGACCACTTCATATAAAAGAGGCAAACAAGGAAGATCTTTTTTTCAATGAAGGGAATAATGGGTAAATGGGCAATGCTTAAACCTCACTCTCATCAAGTTCAAAGAGGGAAGAATATACACACATATGTATATGTACATATACATGTGTGTATGTATGCGTGTATACAGAAATTTTTCCTATTTATTCTTCATAATATGATTAGGATGGAATGCTACTGTATTATCAGAAATGACAAGGGAAATGATTTCACTAAAAACATGACAAGACCTATATGAACTGAAGCAAAATGAAGTGAGAAGTAGGAAATCATTGTGCACAGTAACTATATTGTAATGATAATCAACTGTGAAAAAAACTTAGCCACTCTGATCAATACAATAATCCAAGACAATTTCAAAGGACTCATGATGAAAAATGCTATTTACTTCCAGAAAAAGAACTGATAATCTGAGTGCAAAATGAAGTACTTTTCTCACTTTATTTTCTTGCTTTTTTGTTATTGTTGTTGTAATACAACTAATACGGAGCTCTGTTTTGCATGATTTCACATGTATAACTGATATCATATTGCTTTACTGTTCAGTGGGTGGGAGAGGGGTAGGTGGAAGGGAAAGAATTTGGAACTCAAAACTGGAAAAAAAGAATGTTAAAAAATAAGCATTTAAAAAACAAATGTGTACTTTTGCATCAGTAAACTATCCAATAGCTATAATAAAGGCAGAATATGACCCTTTCTAATTAAGAAAAATTAACCAAAATTATTTAACTAACATTTAAAATCAGACCTATAAAGTAAAAAGAAATAACATTTTAGAAATCTGAAAAGACAAATACACTTCTCAAAATAAAATGAGGTTCATTCTCCTACTGAAAGTTGATGTTAAGAGAAAAACAATGTTGTCAGTCACTTAAACCTGAAAGTAATTTTCCATATTGCATTTGGAAATGTTCCATTTCTAAACTATTTTCAAGAATACTATATTAAATTAATTAATGAATCTTAAAAATTATTTTCCAATTTCCAATTTAATTTGATGCCGAGCATGATATTGACTTTTATTTGCCCAAAGTTGAGAAAATAATGAGCTGAAAGTTTTTTAAGGTGAAAAATTAATCAATGTTCTTTTTTATTTGAATATTACTACATGTTAGATTTTATGTGGCATTATTTAAAGTAGTAAAAAAAAATCACTAAATTAAATGATAATATTCCGGGAAGAAAGGGGAATGCTTGGACTTTCAATATGATTTAATACTGTTGCACTGCAGAGGAAAGAATACAAAGATTTGGAGTCATAAAACATATTCAAATCCCTATTCTACCATTTATTAACTATGTAATACTAAACATGTTACTTAACTGGTCTGTGCCTCAGTTTCCCCACCTGTAAAAAGGGAAAGTAATCCCTATAGCGCCTCATATATAGTATGGAGTAAAGAGTTATTTCTACAAGGACCAAATGAGATGATTTATGCAAAGCCCTTAATGAATTAAAAAAATGCTGTGCAAGTCTGCGCTTATTATTGTTGCATTCCTCCTACTCAAGGCTTGTGAATCAACTTGTTTGGTTCTCGAAAAGTCACTGACTCCAAAATAGTTTTCCAGATCTGCATTTGCCTAAATCAAAACCATTATTACTATTAACTTAAAGTGACACTTAGGGATTAATTTAACCAACTAGTTCTGCAGATACTCAGGATGGTGAGTTTATTTAGAAGGACCAAAATGGATTGGGGGAAAAAAAAAAGATTACATTCCATTTCTAACAAATCACAATACCCTGGAGCCTCACCATAATCCCCACCCCAATGTCCATGACTTTTAGAGGTCACCATCTAATGAATGAAGAGGCCTTTGGTGTATTTCAATCAAAAAAATTCAACTTTGTCCAATGAGTATTCCGAGAAAATTAACTGAGTTAGTTTGGCCTTGACAGAATACTGCTCTTTTATAGTAGCAGATACACAAATTAGTTAGGAATAGCTATATCTTAAACCACTGAAACCTTCATCAAGCAATAGGAACATGATTTCCCCAAATTTCAAGTTCTACTTTTTCAGTATTGCCACTTAGATTATAGTGTAAAAGAGCTAGTATAGTTCTTCTGACAGATTAGTTTTACATGTCTCCTTGTATACATGCATTTCATGACTACACTTTTTTTCTCTCTAAAACCAGATATGGATCTGGGCAATGCCCACCCCCCAATTCCACAGATGACCTAGATTTTCATCCTTCTCTTATAAGACTCTAGTTTGTTGACCTATGTCTCCAGAGCCAGCAATATTTCTTTTGTTTAAAAAAAATAAACTTAACAAAACAAATTTTTGGTTTCCACAGGAACTAAGCTATGGCTGTCCTATTCATATCATCCATTCCTCACACACGCTTCATTTTTTTTCAGTTAACAATTAATTTTATCTCTTTTCCATTCCCTCAAATAGGGAAAAAGAAAGAAAAAGAGAATCATGTAATAAATACACATAAGCATAGCAAAACAAAATTTTTCATTGATCACATCTAAAAACATGTGTCCCATTCTGTATCTTGAGTCCATGATTTCTGTGTCAGGAGGTAGGTAGCCTACACTTCATCAGTCCTCTAGAATTGGTCATTAGTCATTCCA